GTTAATGGCTCTATGTCCAGGTGGAGGCCACTGACAAGTGCTGTCTCTTCAGGGCTCTGTCTTTGGACCTGTGCTCTTCAATATCTTCATCACTGACATGGACAGTGGGATTGAGTGCTCCCTCAGTGAGTTTTCAGATGACACAAAGCTGAGCAGTGAAGTTCACAACAGAAAGACAGGATGCCATCCAGAGGGACCGGCACAAACCTGAGAAGTGGGGCCACAAGAACCTCATGAGGTCCAACAAGTCCAGGTGCAAAGGGCTGCACATGCATCAGGGCAATCTCAGACATGAGCACAGACTGAGAGAGGAACTCAGGGTTTCTTGTGGAAGAAAAGCTGGACATGAGCCAGCAGTGTGTCCTCACAGCACAGAAAGACAAATGTATCCTGGGCTGAATCAAGCAGACAAGATGAGGGACAGATGCTATGGAAACCTCCATGTTGCATTTTAGCAAATTATTCCAGTCTAAATCTTGTGATTTAAGCTCATACAATGATTATCAAACTTTTCATTTGACAATGAGTAATGATGATAAAATTTACCTAACTGTAGTACAAGGATGAAACAAGAAAACTAATGACAGTAAGTGAATAATCAGGGAAAGAGAAACTGATCATCCATTTTTTTTTCCCGAATAAATTACTGTTTTCTGAAAGAATTTTCAGAGTTCAGTTACCTTAGCTTTAAATGTCAAAAACAATGGAGCTTCACAAAACTCCTTTATGACACTACAGTTTTCTTTGAAGATTTACTGATTGTGAAAGGTGATGGCACTGCTCCCCTGCTAACACAATACAGAGCTGCACACAGAGGCTGTCTCTGACATTGTACTGGCCACTCCCATGCCTGTGCGGGCTCCTCCAAAAGTCTTTGAACTTACAGTCTGAAGGCCAAATCCTGACAAAGATATTCGTTGTGAATGCTATCTTAATTATCCAAATAATCTGTTTCAGTCATCTTGTCTCTCCTGGGGAGTGGCCTCTCAGTCTTTGTTTGACCCAGCTGAACACAGTAACATTCAATGCAAATATTAGTCCATCATTATGATGTTTTAAACAAACAAGCAGGTTTGGTTTAGATCTTCCTAAATACATTGAAAGAGGCGTGATGTAAGTACGAGTGCAGACAGGGAGGCTTCGAGGGGCTGCTGGAGCACCTAGCACTCCTAATGGTTACTCTAAGTGACTCCTTTCCAGCACTTGGCTTTCCTGACTTAACCCCATTGTCTCTCGAGGGAGAGAGAAACAATAGAAGAAGCTGTGACAACTCTCTTAGGTGTCCTAAGAAATGTCAACAGCAACAGAAATGGTTTTGGCTGTTCCAGTTGCTAATAGGGCCTGCCCAAAGAAAATGTTTGAAATTGTCCCAGAAAGGATTTTCAGTTTGCTGCCATGTTGGTAGGACTATGCTTGTCGCTTTGCAGCAACAATATTGCAGGGTTTCTATACAATCCCCGGGGTCAGGGAAGATCCATGACAAATTACACTGTCAAGGCTATGTTTTCATAATACTTTCTTGTTCCCTAATACCTCTTGAATACCTTCAATTATTTTCTTGTCTGAAATGTTACTCCTGAAAGTTACACATATTGTTATCAGGCTGTGTAAGTCTAGGCTAAGCTTACTGATGGAAAGTTGAATAGTAGTTCCTGGTTAAATATGGTCTTCACCTGTGTTCTGTTCAGTATAGTTTGAAGAAATGGCAATCCAGAATGTTTCAGAAGCTATTCTGAATAATTTATTGCCCCTGCACACAGAGCTGGCTGCATGCACAAACACTGTATCAAGTTTGATATGAGGACTTGAATTTAAACAAGAAAGGAAAAATGGCTGAAGTTGTCACTTCAGAGCTGCAAAAGAATCTCTGGACAGAACTAACCAAATAATCATAGAATTACTTACTTTGGAAAGAACCTCTGAGAACCTCTAAGAACATTTAGTCCAACCATTAGTCTAAGTATTTGGGCAGAACTGTGTTAGGCAGTAAATGTACTGCAGATTACAGACTCCTGACAGAGAAAAACCGATTGCCAAATTTAGATTTTATGAGAAAACACAGGAAATATATGTGGAACTGCTGTAAGGGTGGAAACTCGGGGACCATGCTGAATTCATAAATTGAACAGAAGTATCATTTATCTTGTACCACTCAGAAGAGGCAGAAGCTGTAAGCCTTTGGAAAAAGAAAGAGCATTATTTTAAAGGGCATCATTATTTTAATTGTTTTCAGCAGTTTCTTCCACTTGACATAGAGTTGGCAGCATACCCAAGTTGAATGTTTTCCATCTTCCCTCTACTTGTTTACTGCTCAGTGCACTTGAAGATTTGTCTCTACTTATTAATTAGAATGAAACAAGAAGTTCAAGAATTGTCACCTAAATGTGTGTAACAACTATTTAAGAGGAGATTGGGACACTGACTCTGCTTGTGGTAACTGCCTACAAGGGCCAGTGCTTCCATCTTGGAGAAGGTGACAGCCTTTCCTCCTTTCTAGAACTCAGATTGGAGGTTTGCAGTCAGTAACAGGTGCATCTGGCTAGGAATCTATCCCTGCAGGATAGATTTTAAACACAATTTCACTGTGAACTTCAGTAACAAGGATTTAGCCAGGATCTTGTGCAGGGTGCTCTGTATGATTGTCTGTATCTGTAAGCCAAAGTAATGTGTTTATTACATGATTTTTAAGTTTAAGGTTTAGCAGTAACAGTTGCCCTTGTCAACATTTTTACCCCATGCTGTCTATTTACTTCATTTCATTTCTTTCCACTAGAAAGGTATTTTTCCCTAACACCATTTCCAAACAATAGAAATAAGTAACCTGGCAGTGACATACATTTGCTTCAACCAGAGTCATGGGGAGGAGATTTCAGTTTGCATAGTAATGCATAACTGCTGCTAAAATTTGAGAGACAAGATAATCTTAATATTTATTTTTAATTTGTGTTTTAAATTCTTGGAAGCTTTCCTAGAATGATGCATACTTATTGACATACTTATTGATGATGCATATTTTACTTATAGAAAAAAATCAAAACCAGGACTGCAACATTGCATCCAGTTTTTGAAATGTTTTGACACATTTACTGAAATTTATTAGGTAATTTCACATGCTTGTCTGGCAATTTATAATCCATTATTTTGCACTGTAAACTCAAGCTGCATCCTTGAGTTTATTTTATGGCATAGACATAAAGTAAACTAAATGACAATATCTCCTGGCATCTGCCTTTTATCTATGGGAATGACCTTCAGTAAAGAAAATCCAAAGGATGTTGTGCATACATTTTATTTATATATTATTATATAATATGTACCTTATATATATAAGGTATATTATTTTCATTACTATAATGTTTTGGAGTAAATGAGGAAGTAAGACTTGGCTTAGGTTAGAAGAACAATGCAATTACTTAATAAACCATGTGTTATGAGAATCAGGGTCAGTATTGCATCAGAAGTTGCACTGTTTGGGAACCATCTGTGGGCCTTGGACTTCTCATACTATCTACAGAGAAAGATATTTAAAAATCTGGCTTATTTCTTTATATGCTGATGTGTTTCTGTAGTGAAGCTGGGATATGTACGAAATACAGCACAAAACTCACACTCAGTTAAGGGCATAGTCACTCCAAAGTGGAGATAGATTAGTACTAAAGGAGAGAAGCAATTAAGTATTTTACACCAGAGTTTTGATGTAAATATGGACATTATAGTCCAAATTCTACTTCCCTTCATTTAATCAGAAATCAATGAAGCAACTCTGTGTCATAAGCGCTAGAAATAAAAGGAGAACTGCAGGCAAAATAAAATAAAACACACTGGGTAAAAGACTACAGGGCTACTGCCTGGTTTTCAAGGCATAGAGCAGATTTACAAGAAAATAACTTTTAAAAGCTGGAGGAAGGAGAAGAGAAGATGGAAAGGTATGCCTGACTTGTAGGTTAAGATCAATTTGTGCTGCAAGGTCAGGAACAGTGGAATTCTAAGGGTTTGGTTTTGCCCACTATTTGGAGTCACTTCTAATTTTTGTACTAGAACTAAACTTCTCCAATGATAAATGTGTTTAGCTTTAGTAATTTGGTTTCTCACCAGCTGTGAGCAGGGGGAAACTGTGCTTGTTGTCCAGACTAGTGACAATTGAGCTGGAAGCTTCTGTTCCTCCAGTTCCAATAAACAAAGCTAATTTACTCAAAGTTGGTTTTTTTGGGGTTTTTTTTGTTTGTTTGTTTTTTGGTTTTTTGTGTTTTTTTTTTTTTTTTTTTTTTTTTTTTTTTTTTTTTTTTTTTTTTTTTTTTTTTTTTTTTTTGTCCTGGAAAGGTTATATATAGTTGGATGATTTTTATTCACAGGGTATTTAATTTTGTCCTGAAAACTTATCTTTTCATTTTGGCCACTGGTCTATAGAATGTCATGATATATAACAGCACAGATTAAAATAAAACAGAAAAACCCAACCCACGAACCAACCAAAAATTATTATATACCACTCTTAAAACTTGTCCTCTATATTGTTTTAATGAAATAATAGTACAGAAAGCAGTTATTAAATGGAAACAGTGCTGTGGATTAGGTGGCTCAGTGCTACAGTGCCACCACACTAAAAGCCCATTTTTCAGCATGAAAAAATATATCTGCTCTAAGACTAAACATGAGCTCTATCTCTTTGTCAGAGTTCTCAGACTGTGTGCTGTACATAGCATGATATATGATCTTGTAGGAATGTAGGAAATTGAACCAATGTTCCCATTTAAATAAAAAAGAAACCAGAAAACCAAAGATTGAAGTTCAGGCTAATAGAAATGTGGTCAATCTGAAGTAAGATTTGTCTAGTGAAAAAAACTGGTACACTTTTACTGTAGATTTAGGTTCTTAATTTTGTAATTCACAATAATTATCACCCTATAACAATTTACACAACTCCTTTTCCTCCCGTAACCGACCATAATTGACATCACTTATTTAAAAGACGCTTGAAACTAAAAAATAGCTTGTATTACCTCTAGCTCCATGTGTTTTTCTTCTTTGTCATGGTCCTTCAATGCCTTCTCAGAATGATTATTGCAGTCTTCTAAATGACAGATGTGCTGATATTTAGTAAATTCATGTTGAGCTTGCTTTCTTTGGGAAACATTCCTTCTCTGAAGACGTTTGAAAAATGCCTCATAAAGTGGCAGTTCTGTAAATGTGTCATGATCACCTCTGTTACCTTTCTCTTCCTCTTCAGAAGAAAAATCATCTGCTTCTCCTGCCTCACAAATATGGAGCTTAGTGTCAGCTTCATGTGATAAAAATTCAAAATCAGAAAATGTGATAGCACATGGTTTGTGTTCTATAACTCTGATCTCATAATTTGTTTCTGGTTTCTTGTCTGAATTTTTTCCTGTGAGGACTGGCCATTCTGTGTTCCTGGGAATGTTAAAAGGATCTTCCTTTGATGTGTGCTTTGTAGAACAAGATAATTCTCCACAAAGGTGCTTTGTCTCAGGCTGGTTGGTGGCACTGGCATGCCCTGCAGCCATGCCAAGTTGTAAAGATGTCTCATTGTTGTCCAATAAGGATGACACAGACAGCAAGCTTAGCTCAGGTTCCAATAATGAATTCTGAAATTCATATGGACTTGTCTGATTTTCTGTCTTTCTTTGGTATTCTTCATACTTGGCTTCCTTTGGAGTTCCCAGGCACTTGGCAGATGTAAGATAAGGTGAGCCCTGTTCTTCTTCATAGATGTTAGTTTCCATTCCAATGGGTTTCATCCATCAGAGATCAAAATTCATTCTTGCTTTTCTTAAGAAACATACATCTGCATATGTAGCCAGGAAACATATTCTTAGCTTTCCAAAACCATGATCACACAGTCATTATTAATGCTTGGATTCTCATATAAAAACATCTGAATCCTTTCAGCTTCTGAAAAAAAAAAAATAAATTAATGAAAACATGCTTGCAGTGGGGCACACCAGCAAAAGTAACACTGAAACTTGAAATGCTCATATCAAATTTACTTCAGATTTACTTGTGCCTCTTCAAAAATATTTCATGTTTGCAGATTAAACGGACATAAAACATGAGAATTTTGACTTGTTTTGCTTAGAGACTGGGAAAGAAATGGCAAGTGCAGAAATATTTTTTAATTAAAATGACTCTAAGTTGATTATTGACACAACAGTTCAGAATCATTTGAAGTGACGTTAGACATATGCTTGTTATCTAAACATGCCTCTGTTCACTGTATTTTCATTATTTGTTAAATCACTGAAAACTTTACACTGCTTTGATAAAGTTACTAAAATGCCATAGGAAGACTAAGGGACAAAACATGTGGAAATGTCAAAGGGAAAACAGACAGAAAAGACGATGTCAGTACAGGTGTGATTTTCTCTGTCTCAGATTCAGTGAATTGCCAGTGCACTACAGCACATGCCCATTTCTAATAGATTTGAAAAGGAATACAAGGAGGCTAAAAATAACAGAGAGCTTCAGTACTACATCAGAGTTGGCCATGTCTTCCAAAGTCCTAATGTCCGTGCTCACACCCAGGCAGTGCACCTCCAATGCACTGGGAGAAGGGGGCAGCTGGAGAACTGATCTCGCATCACTGAGTAGCTTCTGTTCACCCATGCATGTCATTTACTCCTTGTGACAGATTGAATATTGGTAGTATTTATTTTAATGATTGTTTCAGTACTCCATCTGTGAGAGAGCAAAGCAGAACAGAAGCTTTTCAAAATAAAAAGAGAAGCTTAAGCCTTTGATATATGCGGCAAACCTGTCAATGATGAGGAAGATGTGTCAGAAGGCAGCACTGTGACTGTCAAAGTGGGAAGCATGTAAAGTAAGATGCTGGCATGTGATGTGCCTGTTACTGCATGTGCTATAAACTGAGCAATGCACACCAGCTAGGAATATTTTAGTGCTGGTTAGTTTATATTTTAGCGTTGCAAGCATGCCTTTGGTAATAGAAAGAATACTGTAACGCATTCAGAAAATTTGGATTTATTGTATTACCTGTGTCATTTGAACTGCAGCTATAATAGATGTGAACATACATGTTTATGTAGACCTACTCTCAGCTATTGATAGCTATTTAAACGTCAGACATTATTGTAAACTGTCTAACCTCCTGCTGGAGTCAGTGGAGAGAGAAAAATGCTTCCAGAAGGTAAATGCTCTCACTTCTCTTGCTTACCTATTTTGATGTGGGAGAAGTCTCCATCCTGGCTTGACTGCCTAATACAAAACTATTGAGGATGTCTAGATAAAAGTCTTTAGAGGGACGAATAATGCCAAGAAGAATTTCAGCCCACAGCTGTGATACACAATAATAGATTACATTATCTATGCATGAATGAGATACCTACTCCCGAAGGCCTCGTTTTCTGAGGTGCCTCAGGTTAGTCATCTACACAGAACTGACGTCACTTCCAGAAAGGAGAGAACTAATTGAGCACAATGAAAAAGAAAACATTTAGATGGAATGATTGGAATAACTAACTTCTTGCACAATATCTTGCACATTGTGGGCATAGTGGAAAAACCTCTTGCCATTTCAGATGATTATTATTTGTGCTTCACTCTGAGCCATCACCTTTGCTTCTGAGTTCCTGACAGCCAGCACCCTGGAAGAAGCCACATTCCCACCACACAAAGCCATCTATAAGCCAAAAATTTCTGCCTACTCTAGCAGACTTCCCAAAAAGCAGCAAAAGATTATTGGCCTGGCTGCCCACATCAGGTGAGAGGGTGGGTTGTGTTCACCAGCCACTGCTGTGGTGGCTGTCCTGTTCTTCATCTGATGGTAGTTCCAAAAGAAGTAGCACTCCAGGTCTCCTGCAGAGATTGTCTTTCCCAGTCTTCACCCCTTCCTATTTCACTCTTTCTTCCCATCCTTGGACCATTTCCTGGACTCTCTTTAGTTTTGGTAATGCTGCCAAGCAGGATCTGCTGTGATAACATCTGCAGAAATACACCTCTCTGTTCATAGTAACATCTTTGCTGTAATAAGCAAAACATTTAGCAAAAAATGCTCCAGAAGCAGTTACAGAAATTCACAGGATCACAAGATGAGTTGGGTTGGAGGGGACCACAGGGCATTGGACCACATCTGGTCCAACCTCCCTCCCCAAGCAGGGCCATCCTGGAGCATGTGGCACAGGATTGTGTTGAATATCTCTGGTGAGGGGGAGATTCCACAATCTCCCTGTAACCCCCTGGCAATCTGTTCTAGTCAAAGAGATTAGAACAATAGAGAATAACAAAGAAGTTATTACACAATACAGAAGTTCTACCTCATATTTAAGTGGAACTTCCTGTGTATCAGTTTCTACCTTGTACCTTAAATTCTGCAGTAGGCATGCTCAGGATAAATGAATTATGTATTTTTTATTTCTAGTACTTTAGGATAATGCTTTAGACTCCCAAACATGAATTATCATCCAAAATATTGTATTTTTCATTATCTCTCTATATAACTCTATATTTACTCGCATTTAAAATAAATTCCCAACTTCTTTTAAAACTTTGTTAGGTTATTTCATTCAAACAAGTTTTGGTTTTTGCAGGATATGATGTAAAGATGTAATTTTTAGAGTTTAATTGCAAAAATCATTAAAATCATGAGTTTTTTCTGTTTACTGAATTTGCTATTCTATCGTACTCTATTTTTCCTGGGATGAGACTGGAACAAATCAAGTATGCAAAAGCAGGCTGTTTTTGTGCAAGTATGGCAAGAAATCTCTGAGGAGGAAGTGGTGAGAAGAATGTCAGTTTACCCTTGTTCATCCCGTGCAACATTATCTTTTTACTGAATCTAGCAGTGACTATGAAAAACCTCACACTTTAATGTATAATATTAAATTCCATATTTATAAAGAGTTACACATAGACATTTCTAACTCCTAAAAATGGAGCAATCTTGGCAAAGCAGAGAATTTAGAAATCCTACCCATAGCAAAATTTGTAACTCAGAGTGCTCTGCACATTCAGAGCTAAATCTGTACATGCCACAAAATGCCTCTAAGACAGTCCTGCAAAAGAATGTATTTCTCACCACAATGATGAATGTGCACATACAAGTTCTGAAAACTAGTAAGCTTTCTGGAAAAGGTCTTGAAGGCTTTATAAATATGGAGATTACTTTTGTATGCATACGTAATTCTAAATATATACTGTAGCATTAGCTCTACTGGTAGAAGCTAGTGTGGATAATGTGGAATACTGAAAGTATATGCAGGTTTTTCAACTAAAAAGGGAATTCAGGGCTACAAGAGGTAACTGTCTGACCAGAGCTGACTCCAAGCATTAGTAAGAGTAAAAACATTAAAAAGCAGCACACAGGGTTACTTTTTGCTAAATGTGAAATGCATATCTGAGTGTAGCAACTTCAGCTGCTCACATATGTGAGTTTAAAATTTAGTAAATAGAATGTTATTTATTAATTAAAACTCCTTACAAATCAGCAGTAAATTAATACAGATTTTCAATATAGCTAGTGGCATGCCATAGAAGGGAAGTTCTCATATAGTCTGGCACACATAAATGTGTATGTGAAGCCTCACAGATCAACTTCTGTGTATCATGCTCTACTGGCTTGACTCCCCTTTGCCTGAAATAAAATTTTTATGATTTTTTTCATAGTGTTAATCTAACAGCAAGTCACCTAAAACAGCTTTTCAAACATGGCTTAAATGAGTGATTTTCAATACCCATTATGTATTTTGGCGTTACAGAGCATGTGAATATATGTAACTTTTTCAGTTTAAATTAAAAATTTAAATCTGAACTGACATAATAAACTAGCAAATCAAATCCTAATCTTGGCTGGAACAGTACACCACTCATCTAAAATAAAAAAATTCTACCTTTCAAGTGCTAGTGCATTTTTTTCCTATTCATAATGACTTTGCTTAGTATTTTTTATTGACTTATACAATATTCCCCTGAAAAACTAAGAAAACAAGGCAAGAAAATGCAAGATACATAGACTAAGAGAAAATGATGAGATTAGGATTTTTTCTTGATGATAATTTTACCTGTTTTGTAAGGTAACCCCATATTTTTCAATTCAGTTAATTTCCATAAGCGTAACAATTGCGTGAGTAACCAAAAGATCCTCCAAGCATTGGGGACGAACAGGGAAAGGACTGAGCAGATCCTTAACAAAAGACATTTCAGCTTCCTTGCTGCACAAGAACTCTGTCAACAGAAGTATGTGTGAGAATCCCTGGGGCGAAAACAGCCTTCTGCAAGCATTGGCCGAATTATTCACAGAAAAAGAAAAAAAGGAGAGGGGAAGGAAAAAAATAAAAAGAGAGAGTAAGAACATGCTTCATAGGATCACCAGGCACTTCTAAAAATACAGCATGACCTCATTCTCCACATTAGGCCAGACCTTAATATCGTGCTTTGCTTTATCACCTGGAGCACCTGGAGTCGGGTTCCCACTGCTTGAGTTTGGATGCTGTCAGATTTTGAAAAGGTAGGCAGTAAAATGCCTTTTGATGTAGTATAAAGCCAGTGTAAAGCAGTACCAAAATTAGCTTCCATGTCACTTGCAAATTCTAATGATTTTTTGCCTATGTTTCGTCAAGACCTACATTCGTTGCCAAAGCTTTACAAGTCTTTCCTTTTATATATATTAATAGAATCATAGCTTGCAGACAGCCTTCTGCATATGCTGCAAAATGTAGTTGTAGTGCAAGTTACTGGACACATGAGCCTCTGAGTGTGATTATAAATCAGTTATTTGCAAATCTAACCTGGAAAGGAGAAGGATGTACTGTCACTGGAAATACAGGGTGAGAAGTCTTTGAGTTATAGTTAAATTTTGGAAGTGTTCTCCTATATTGCTTTTAAACAGAACAAAAAGCAAAAATGAAAATGCTGCTATACCCTTCTACTCGTGTAATGGA